TCTGCACCACTCTCTTGTAAAAACACACCACATGCAGTGTTTGGTGGAAGTAATATAAAACAATATACATCAGAGAGTCTAGACTTCTCTAACTTTCTTATCTGGCAAAATCTTTTCACAAATATTCTTCACTGTCATAGGGTTTATGATCATGTGGATGACACTCATAGTCATTCTCAATCCATCACTGAAACTTCTGTACAACTTATTATTAATCTAGATTTTGCTATCTGGCAGTAAATTGACCACGTTCTTGTCTCCTGGATAAATGCTGCAATGTCATTAGAGATTTTTAAGCATAGCATCTCCCCTGAAATTGCTTTCTCTGCCCGTGATACTTGGGTTTCTATTAAAAACTATTTCTTGACAGTTTGACATGAAGATATTGTTGGAGACTTCGCTTACCAATGATTGCTTATAAGAAGCTAAACATATGGTAAATTATTTATATATATAGAAAAAGTTAATATTATTAAAAATAGATAAAAAAAATATTACAATACATATAAAAGAAAAATCACTTTATTCAAACTTTATTTTCATTGCTCTAACACACACTACTGTACATTACAGTAGGGCTGTTGCCCTTAACAACCTCTCTTTCTCAGTTCTTCATTCTTTCTCACTCTCTCACTTTACTCTCAAATAATGTCTGTATTTTTAAGCAACAATGGTAAGGTAAGAAGCCATCAATTATAGCATAAATAGTAGCAACATATAGGTTGCACTATTTTTTCAATAGTTGGTACAATTATCATTGTAACATTTTGACAATAGTAACCCTTCTTGTTAGGGTAGGTTGCACAAGTTGTTGATCATTAATGACAATATCCCAACAATCATCTTTCTTAATATTTATATAGGCAATTGTCCTCTTGCTTCTTTAGGACAAGTTTGCGTATTATAGCTCTTTCAAACTTACCATTCTAAGAGCGTTTGTGAGCAAGTTTACAAGTACTTGCCAAACTTTTTAATCACTAAAATTATCAAAGCACACCCTTGCTTATACTAAAGGATATCTTCAACCAGATAATCTTCTACAAAATATCTGAAGAGTGTTAACGCTAGTCTCTGGGATACAACATTCCCCTTCAAGAATATCAATCATGTTCGGTTTAGAATGATTTTTCAAGCCTCATATCAAGGCTTACAAACCCTCTCAAACGAAAGTTTCTCTTTTCAAGTGCAACAGTGATTATCTGAGTATCTCAATATGATCACGAGCTTTTTCAAGAGTCTACTCATCTCAAAGTTGTATCTGCTCTCTGTTCCCCCTTAGGAATCGTGTCTTACTTTTCCATGAATCTCTCACTCTTAGTCCAAGAATCCAAGTAACAATCCACCTTTATCCATGGGGGTAGCCCATCAAAGGTTGATTCATATTTTTCTTTATATTTTGAGTATTACAATATCATTACTGAGCTCACCATCTTGATAAAAGTCAACTTGTTTTCGGAACCTGTGCATGTCATCTGCTCCTACATAACAATCGCGTCTTAATACTTCACAAGTCACCCACTTATTATCCAAGGCAAATGTCTTTTAGCTTATTGACATTTAACATGGGGGTAATATTTATGAAAGTCAATCTTGTATTTGTCTTCATACTCATCATAGCCACTTCATTGGCTATGTATATGTCCATTTATATCCAGCCACCACATTGGCTCTAGAACGTTCTGTAATTGAGCATCTATCATGGTCCTTACACCTTCTTCAGAGGTGTCTCCGCTCGTCTTCATGTAGTGGTTTGAACCTAGGCTCATATTGGAGCCCATACACCTTCTGTCTAATATGTCTTTGCTTTTCATAGACAGT